CTCACATGAATACTCTGTTTTCTTCAGAATAAGTTGGCTTTTTCTTTTGGTTTGGTGTTAAAGAACCTGATAAGTATTAGGAATGATATATTTAACCTTTTGTACACAAGTATGGGCTGATTTATCATTTTACATGACATGTATGTAGGCCACGAGTAGTAAACCATCAAAGGGCAAGAAGAAATTGGATATCTGTAAAAAAAACGGTCAAACGATCTCTAGTGTCTGATGGCGTGTTGTTGTCACTCAGTAAAGATTGCAAGTGGTTGCACTCGATTATAGCATCTCGGACTAGCGACGATCCCTTTGTAATTACTTTAGATGCTCGCGTGTTCCATTATAAATCAAGTGATGGTGATGTGTATCTTAGCAACGAGGACATCTCTCAATTTTTGTCCGGTGCAATGCTTAATATATCCATTATTCAAGTATTCATCAAGTAAGATATAATAACTGTATTACTTATTATATTACTATGATGTTCAATTTTCATTATATATTAAATTGATTTTTTTATAGAGCAATGCATGATGCCGAGGATTTGAATACAAATGCGCAACTTGGATGGATGTGTCCTGATGCAATTTGTGCAACTTCATGTGACCATAACCCAGAAGATGTGAGAGAGTACATACGCTGAGCCATCATTGAATCTCGCAATTCTGGTGTAGATATTATTCTTGCTCCTTATTACGAAAAGTATGCATTCATACCTACTTATAATAATTTCATTTATCGTAGTTATTAACATTAACGATATATATATTTATGTTTATGTGTTTATTACATAATGTGCATCACAAATTACTCGTGTAGTTATCATTGAGTATTGCTTGTGGTATGAGTCTCACGTGGCATGATCTTTATGTATGATTCGCTTCGCACTAGCCCAATGTGCCGCTTATTAATCATGTCATTGTTTAGCAGGTTAGGTTATTGTTTAGATATGACAAATTTGTATTCACATTATTTTATGATTGTTTTGCTTTAATTTTAAATGTTTTCGTTATAGTGTTTTTCGAAATATGTGCGGTGATGGTGAAAATAAGCAAAAAGTGATTTGGAAGCAAATGAAGGTATTAATGAGTATATATGTACTTTGAGTCATCTATTAAGTATTGTGTTAAATTTGTATATTTTTTTTGAAATATTAGTGTGTACTCAAATAGTATGAATTGTTGAAACTGTGTCTTTTCATGTGTATCTGATCTTTATGTTTCAGTGTGCGAAGCAAACGGGTGGATTGGAGTGTGGATATTATGTAATGCGATTCATGTACGATATGGTAAAGTGTATTGGTGATGGTCAAAATATGGAGCAGGTACATTTTAATAATTCTTCTAGCATGTTTTTTTATTGAAATAATTTATACTTAATTTCAAGTACATTTTTATGATTAGGTGGATATATTGTGCTTGAGTGAGTGGGTTTGTATTTTATTGAACTGTTTATTAACATGTTGTTGGCTGACAAAGTTTACTTGGTTGAACATTTTTCACTCCTACAAATATTAGCTAGTTTTCGATTTTTTATGCTAACAAATATTTTAATTAACTAGTACTTGAAATTTCTTATTACTTTTAGGTGTGCAAGAACACTTCAAGAGATGAGCCGTTGTCAATTGATGAAATCGGTGACGTTCGAGACGTATGAGCTATCTATGTTTGTGATAACATTTTGTAAACTTTATACTAGCTAATTATGTAATGCAAGTAATTTTTAATTAAACTGTTTATCGTATTGGATGTGTTTGGTGATTTTTGTTCTCAACAAGTAGCATCATTGGCACTTTGTTAAGTGATATGAAAGAGTTGTGAATTTGATATGGACAGGGTCTGTTTTGGGACAATGGATATTAGTTGTGCATTTTTTGGTATAATAGGAAATTTCGGTGGTATGCTCACATTTAAAAATTATTATTTGCTGCGGTTCTACTTACCCGCGGTAAATAAGTTGAAAAATATTCATCTATTTGCTGCGGTTCCGGTATACCCGCACCAAATGTGAATTCGTACAATTGATGCCCCTCTAATTGCTACGGTTCAGAACCGCAGCAAATGCCCAAAAATAACCGCAGTAACTGTGAATTTTTCTAGTAGTGATTATTTATTTCACAAATGAAACTTTAAAATGTTAATTGCATTTTAACGAGGTTTAGAGTATTTTAAATTATATAATTATTCAAATAAATAATTGTTTGTAAAAAACATAAAACTATGGTGCGAAATAACTTTTTATATAAAGTTTGGGGTATATATATTACATATGCAAGGTTGGGGTACTTATTATCTAACACCCCATTAAAATTTGGGGTATTTAAATTATTTTTCCCTTCGGTTTTCATCAATTCCTTAAAATCCATTTCATTTTTTTAATAAGTCTCCAAATCATGGTTATGACTCGTGTTAGTTATGACACTAAGTTTAAGATATAGAGTTCAATTTAATAAAAACTAGGGAAAAGGGGCAAATAAGGCCACGTACTAACAAAAAAAGGTCAAATAAGGCCTTATTTATGAGACTCTGTCCGGCCTTCGCCATTTGGGTTGGTTCTCGGTGGAATTTTTTGATAAATTTTTTTGAGCATCTTATTCAGTAAGTCTAGTTTACTCATACCAAATCTAAGCTAAAACTTCAATCGGGAAGCCATTCAAATGAATTCTTGAAGATAATTGCGCAGTTATCTTCAAGAATTCATTTGAATGCCTTCTGGATTAAATTTTTATCTGAAATTTGGTATGAGTAAACTAGACTTAATGAATAAGATGGTCAAAAAAATTAATCAAAAAATTCCATCGAGAACCACCCCAAATGACGAAGGCGGGACAGGGCCTCATAAATAAGGCCTTATTTGACCTTTTTTGGTTAGTACGTGGCCTTATTTGCCCCTTGTCCCTAAAAACTAACTTGATAAAACGAGTACCGAGAAGCTTGTATATAATATTTTTGTGGAGTGGTAAGCACATCAACATTGATTTTAAGATACAAAATTCACATAAGCAGAAAACTGTTCAAAATATGAATAAAACATGGAGAAAATTCTAGAACAAGGCTCGATATATTTTCTCCAAGATAGCGCTTAGTTGGTCCTATCAAAGGAGTACAACAATTAAAATTGTCGAAGAAGGGATGAATGAGTCTTACTCCCTCCGTCCCTTAAAAGTTTGTCATCTTTCCCTTTTGGGACGTTCCAAAAAACTTTGTCACTTTTCTTTCTAATCAATTATATTGTGGTTCCTGTTATTTCTCCCTCCTCTGCACAAACCTCAACCACACAGTTTTTACTTTATTATTTTCCGTGCTGATCAAACTTGGCAAAGTTTTAAGGGACATAGGTAGTATTATGGAAAGAAAATAGTGTACTCATATTTAAAAAATGTGATATATTTTATTCATATTTTGGAGGGAAAAAAATTTTGACACTAGGCTTGAAGTTCTTTTGATTCACAAAAATGAAAATTAAATTTAGAAATGATTAAAATTTAGAAAAAATTAAAAATAATAATCTCAATTATTTTCGGTATGCCAGCTCAGAACAGTCCTAGCTGTTGATTTTTCATGTGTAATCCCAACTTAACCATATGCCAATAATACCCACGTGACTGGCTACTCATTCTCTCAATTAAAAAAGTAAATATTTGTTTATAATACGAAGTAATTTGAAGGGAAAACTCCTTAAATAGGATTAAAAAGATGTACAGTTCCCAAATATGAGTATTATATATTTTCCCATAAATAAGAGTAATTTACTTGAAATAATATCTTTAAATGTTAGCATTATGGGGCAATAACATGTTAATACCATTAGTTGACATTATATTTTCCACGTATGACAACAATCACTCTTATTTACGGAACAAAACACAACACTATAATTCTAACGAACATTCAAAATTATGTTTACTCCTATTTAGATCATCTTGTACTCAAAACAATCATCAGTTCACTGTTAGTAGTGCCATTTTTTTGGGATTTTTTTTATAAATAGAAAAAAAATGATAAATACGGAGTAACACTCCTCGTAAACTATATATCTCAAACTCTAAATCATATACCCTATATCCTAAAAACTAAACTATAGGCTCTATCAACCAGTCTCTTACGTATTATACAATAAAATATAAAATATAGAAATGAAGAAATTGAAAATAAATGTAACAAAACGTGAAAAAAGTGGAAATTTTAAAAAAACAAGTTATAAAATTAAAGTAACTAATAATGATTTAATTTTCAAAAAATCAAATCATATATTTTAATTATAAGTTAAATAGATACAAAAAATGAGAAAAATAATAAAACTAAATTTAAAAATATCAAACCATGCATGTATATATAAGTTGAATAATACCACGCGTTTTATATATGGAGTATAAAACAACAAGTTAATGGAATATATAATTATATCTAACAATTAAAAAGTTTAAATGGCTACAACTTACATCCAAAAAAAACTTTCGCACAAATTTGACACAAATGTTGCACATATTCATTAATCCCAATCAAATCAGTGCCAAAACATCTATCAAACCCGTTTGATCATAGCCTATTTGGCATAAATATATGCCAAAATTTTGTTTCAAAAAGGTTTTATAAAATGGATTTGGCACGAATGTTGCACAGATTCCTAGATCTCCATCAAAGTTATATCAAGATCGTTTTGTCACAGTCTATTTAGCAGGAGTGGACGAAAAATCTGAAAAATTGTGTTAACAAAAACGACCATAATGCTATCTTTTTTACAAATACTCATTTTTGTTATTTAGAAATGACAAAAAGTAAGAAGCTAAGAACGATTCAACTCACTTCAGCATTATTTAGACAGGCTCTCGTAGTAAGAAAGGGAATAATTTTTGGCTGCAAAAACACTATATGTGGTCTTTGCGAGACTAATAACGCGACTGCCGGTCAACAACTAGTGAGTGGGTCCCACTCTGTTTTTTTCTAATGCCACCCCACAGAAACAAATACCCAAAATAAAGAAAAAGTCTCCAAAATCCCCCAAACCAATACTCCCTCAGCCCTCTCTCTCTCTCCTCCACTTCTTTCTCGCTCTATACTAAGCCTGAGAGTTATATATATATACATATGAAGAATCTAAGCTTTTGATCAATGGAGAAGAAGGACGGTAAAGAAAACCCGATGTTGAGATCAGACCCACCTTGTGACTCTGCATTTTCCGATCAGATCCCGGCCGGAACTTTTTCCTTGCAGACCTTCTTCGACCTGCCGCCGGTTGATCAGACGGACGGAGAGCAGAGCTCCTTCTCCATCTCCTACTTGGATTTGGTTCCCGGCCCCGAAGATGAAACCATCACTGCTTACTCCGCCATATTCGACCTTCTCCAAACGCCTGTTCCGCCATCTTTCTTGATACCTCCGCCGCCTCATATGCCGTCAACGTCGCCGGAGGTGGCGAAAACTCCTGTCACCCCCATCTCTCCCTCTCTATCCTCCTCTTCGAATGAAGCTGCCAACAAAACCGCTGATGAAGGTGAAGAAGAGGATCCCAAAGACAAAGCTAAGCAGCTGTAAGCTAATTGATGAGCTGATTCTTTTTTTTTTCTTCTTTTATCATTTTTTCCATTAAAAATTAAAAATGGTTTTTCTTCTTGTACTGAATCTACTGACCTGGTGGGAACACGGTTTTCTTCCAAAAAATTCAACTCCCTCTTTTCGTTTCACATTTTAATTAATTAATTAAATCAAAATGGATGGTCTGATGAAGTCTGAACATGATAAAGAATCAAAGATGATAAGTCAACCCAATCTCCGGCTTAAAGGGTTTCTTGTGTTTTATGCATGATCTGATTGTGTCTGATCATAAATTTCTGCGGAATAAGTGATAAAGATTTCATTTTTATGAAACTAACTAGTCGCCATTCACGGAAAAAAAAGGTTTTAGTTATTTGCAGAAAGTGGGTTTTATACAATTTAAAACTTTTGATATATTTTCTTGTGGCGTATGAAGAGTGGGGTTTTGTTTTGTGCTTCAAGAACAGATTTTTATGTGTTTGGTCATAATTTTCTGCGGGATAAGTGTTACAGATTTCATTTTTACGAAATTAACAAGTCGCCATTCACCGAAAAAGGGTTTTAATTATTTGCAGAAATTGGGGTTTATATAGTTTAGAATTTTAGATATATATTCTTGGGGCGTATGAAAAGTGGGGTTTTGTTTTTGTGCTTCAAGAACAGATTTTTATGTAATTTGGACAGGTTGAAACCAAAAAAGAAGAAACAGAAGAGGCAAAGAGAACCAAGAGTGGCGTTCATGACAAAGAGTGAAGCGGATAACTTGGACGATGGATATAGATGGAGAAAGTATGGCCAAAAAGCAGTAAAAAACAGCCCATTTCCAAGGTACTATCTCAAATTCACTTCCTCACGCAACTTGCACGTCCACAAGTTCATATTCACATTTATGTGTTTAAACTTTAAACTATATATGCATCATTTCACTCTCATTTTAACCATGAAACTGTAAAAAACTAGAACTAATAAAAGTTAACCATCCTTTGTGAATTGTGGTAAAGGTGTTTGTACATTTTCTGGTGCATTCATTGATAAGAAATTGTTGTAAACACACAGGAGCTACTATCGTTGCACGGCGCCTTCTTGCGGTGTGAAGAAGAGAGTCGAGAGGTCGTCACAGGATCCATCAACTATTGTGACGACATATGAGGGGACTCACATACACCCGTGTCCCGTAACTCCTCGGACAAGCAGCCTCATTGCGACAGTGCCGAAGGCCCCCATCAGCCCCGGTGTTGGTGGTGATGGTGGTGGTTGTAGCACCAGTGGAAGAAGTTCAGCTTTTGGTGTACCTTGCCCCGACCCCTTCTTCCGTCATCCGATGCACCACCACCAACAACAACAAGAGCAGCAACATCAACAACAACAAGACTCGTTTTATTTTGAGTCTTTAGCCCGAGATTTTCGCCCTTTGAGGTTCCCCAACAACTCATCATGTGGAGCAAGTAGTGAGCTGTTTTCTGCTCCAAATGATTTGCTTCAAGAAAGAAGGTTATTTGTTCTTCCCCCTCCTCCTCCTCCTCCTCCTTCGTCTTCAACGGTGAGCCGGAATCATGGGCTTCTCCAGGATATCCTTCCATCTGAGATGAGAAAGAGGCAAAACAAAGATGGGGTGAGTGGTGATGAATGAGTTCTATGATTGCCTGACCAGGTGATCACAACTTCTGCTTTGAATGAAGCTGAGAAATTATCTAATATGTTCCATCTTTATTCATTTTCGAGCATCTTGATCTCGGTTCATTAAATTAAAATGTTCATGGAGAGAAAAAGTAAAGATGGATCTAGCTAGCTAGGGTTTAATTTATTAAGGTTAGATATTCTTGAAATGTGAATTAGATCGATGAAATGGCTGGCTGGAGTGGATGATATATGGTTCTTTTATGTCTTGTTTCTTAATTAGTTTTGATATGGATTTTGAGCCATGGAGATATTGGATTCTAGCTTTTGTACATATTTTTCGACCACCTTTTCATTTATGTATAGTTTCCTTTAGTTCTAGCATATCTTTTTACCCATTCAGTCTTGCTCCCTTTCACTTGCCTTTCTTGTTTAGCATGCGTGTGCATCGCTACGTATAGTACTATAGCTAATGATAATAGGGTTAGGGTTTTATTCAATGAACTGAGAAAAATCATTTTCATCTGATTATCTTACTCCCTAAAAGCTTAGTAGCTTACAATACAAGGAATATAATTGCAAATACAAAAAGACGATGTTTTTACTTGGACTGAAATTCCTCACAGACTAGACCAACCAGTTCAGACCATACCAGATTTTGATAGTTATAAAAATACAAAGAAAACAGATCAGATCAATTCAAACCAGACCAGACCATCAAATTACAGTCTAAGTAAAAATATGTAAATATTGTACTTTTATGTTTTTTTTGTCATAGTAAAAGTGGAATGGTCTTGGGTAGCGTATTGGTTAAGATTCTGTTCACACATCGTATGTAAAATTGATAAGAATTGCTTTGTTTTTTTATCACTCGTCAAATTTGGCTTATATAGTACTGGTTTACTTATTTATATGCATGTATTTCTTCCATGATGGTCCTCTGACATTTATGTCCTATAGTATTTTTATGCCGCCCTACTTTTTCATCATTTAAATGAAAAAATGGATATGCTCAATAGAAGTCAAATACGGAGTATAAAAATTGTGTTTTTCTGGAGTAAATAAGAGAGTAATTATGGTTATCTTGAAATTACGGCAATATTATTATATTAACATTCTTATATAAAATCACGTATTAATATCATCATTATATGACAGTATGATCATGTCAGTATTTTACGGAGTATAGTACTTTGTTGAGGAAAATTGTCTCGTTTTTAACTTCTACGGAGTATTTCGGAAAATTCTCTAAATAAAATAGTGTGGTCCAAATATTTTGAAAAATTAATGTAGACCATAGATCTTATAAATAAGTGAGAATATTTTAGTAATCCAACAGAATAGAAAATAAGGAGAACGTGAGTGAAGAATATGACTTAGATATTGAAAGGACTTTGTAAAAATAGTAACAATAACGTTAAAATCAGGATGAAACGCACGAGAATAAATGAAAAATGAAATTTTATGGACATGAAAGATAGAAAAAATATCAATCCATGACCTGAAAGATTAAGAGCCCGTTTGGCAGCACGAAAATCGACTGTTCTGGCTGATTCTGCTGAAATTTATAAAGTTCTGGCTGAAGTGGCTGCATTGGCTGATTCTGCTGATACAAGAAAAAAATATTTTTAAAATATATTTTATTAATAAAATAAAGAAAAAAATATATGTAAAAATAGCTAAAATGGTCATCTACAGTAACTTCAGCCAATACAGCCAGAAAAGTAACTCCAACCTTACTTTTTCGGCTTATTACACAATTCAGTGCGCGAAAGCAAAATTTACGTGTTTGGTAAAAAAGTTGGCTGATAAGCCTGATAAGCCGAAAATGAGGGTTGCCAAACAGCCTCTAAATGTATCAACATAGGACTTGAATGATGAAAAATTATCAATTTAGGACCTGAATGATTGAAAACTATCAATCTAGGACCTAAGTTGTCATGAATTTTATTATTATTTTTATTTCAAAAAATTTAAATATCATTTAGAGAAATATTCCTGCCCGGAATTCAATCGGGAAGGCCGTCAAATAATTTTTTAAAGTTAACTGCGTTATATATATATATATATATATATATATATATATATATATATATATATATATATATATATATATATATATATATATATATATATATATATATATATATATATATATATATATATATATATTGGCGCAGTCATCTTCCAAAAATCATTTGATGGCTTTCCTGATTGAATTTTTAGCTGAAACTTTTTGTGGATGAACTAGACTTGATGAAGAACATGCCATAAAAATTTTATCAAAAAATTCCACCAAGTAGGGTCCCAAAAACCGTCATCCGAACAGAAGTTCCGGTTAGGAATTCCTGACCGGAAGAGTACTCTCTCTCTCTATATATATATATATTGTTAGTCCCCTAGATTTTGATAAACAGTTATTGATGATGCCAAAAGCTCTTCTGTGTTCCCCCCCTCTTTTGTAGCATTAAGAAGTCAAGATGTTGTATTTATCTTCAATCGTGTGCTAGTAAAATATTTTCTAAAAGTGTCATGTTCAATATGATAACAAACACAATAAAGTTAACTGGAAAAATCCGACGTGCAATAAGGTTATATTCTTTTACCTTAAACGCATCTCTCATAATTCCAAATATTTAAATTTATTGTGTTACATAAAAAGACACTAAAAGACTTCGAACGAATAAACCATTTATTTGAACTGGAACACAAAATGCAATAAGGTAATATTCTTTACCTTAATAGGATTTACTAACCTACCAGTTTAATATTTGGTTTATGTGCAAAATACTAGCTGGGCCAAATCACAACCAAGTGTGACCAAAAGTCAGATAAAATGTTCGTATCAAATTAATTATGTCGAAAAAGTTAAAATGCAATAAGGTAAAACTTTACCTTGAAAAGGGATATTCAAATCCTACCGGTATATATTTATTTGATACAATCACTTTTATCAAAAGACATATTGGTGTGAAAAATGTGTCGAATTGAGAGACAAAAGTAAATGAACAATTTTTGAGACTAAAGAAAGATTACCGGAAAAGTAAAAATGCAATAAGATAATTTTTATTTACCTTAATAGGATATTTAGATCCTACCGGTATACATTACTTTGACTCAAAAATTAGTTGTGTGTCACATTTTTTTTCTGGGGACCGGAGCTCTGAAGACACACACAGAAGAAACACTTCAGCGATCAAAATTAATTGAAGACAATATCAGACCTGCCTTCAATGCTTGAGCAAGTACATGGGTCTACAGCATGGGACACACATTTGGAAAAGATGCTCTCCGCGGCTAAATAATTCAAGACAAACTCATCAGACGCATTAAAAGGCTCCAGCACAAAAAGAGGGAAGTACAATTTGTCCTTGCCAGAAATTCAACGGAAGAGATAAAACTATCCTAACCAACAGATAAGATTGATCAGCCAAAAAGCCTATAAATAGAGGCTGAAACGAAAGTTTCTAACCAAGCCTGAACATCTTAAGTAGAGAGATATTTTACTGAGCATGAAGTGCTATTCTATCCACGACTCTCTACTTAGACTCTTGCTTCACTAAACTTCTCAGCATCAAGTATTCATAGCCAAAATCCTAGAAATTTAGTTCCTAGTTGGAGGTTTAAACTTTCTTGTAAAACAAAATCAGAAATTGTTGTAAACACTTCAGGAGGACAGTTGTTCCCGGCCTGAGTGTGGTTAGATAGGTCAGGAGTACCTTTTGATCCCCACTGGATCAATTGAGAAAAACCTAAAGGATTGAGTAGCTTGGAGTGGTGTTGTACTCCTCGTGAAACGCCTTCAATCTAGGCCAGAGTTGTCAAGGCTAGATTGGCGCTAAGTGTATTGGGCTTAATACATTAGTGAAATCCATCTGAAAGAGGGTGGGACTGGATGTAGGAGGATTACACCACCTCTGAACCAGGATATACTGTGTGTTGATTCATTTTCAGTCAACAAAGCACACACTGAACACTTCTCATAAAAGATTGTAGTTTGCCAGCAGAATCCTAAGCAGCAGTCTTAACTGACCATACTGCTTATCCTACTGCTTAATAACTAACTTTCTTTGAGATACAAGAGATACAAGATATCATAACTATAAGGTCTGTTCCATTAGATTTCAGGAAATCCTACTTAAAGCATAGCAGTTGCCTCAGCAGTTCCCTGGGGACTACCCAACTGCTAAGCCCACTGCTCACGCAAAAGTGTTTCCTTGAGACATCTCCACTTCACCAGACCTTCACAACTCAATCTCCAAGAAGTCTGTTCAAACTAATCACTGTAGTTCTAAGTGGTAACCCAGCAGTTGCCTCAGCAGTTCCCTCACTTTCACCCAACTGCTGAAGACCACTGCTCCAGTAAAACTCCTACTTACTCATATTAATGCACATCTTCAGAAAGCCCACATTATCCTGAGCAACACTATATAATCAATCCTTCCACGCCTTTACTTTTACTTCAGCAGGTGCCTCAGCAGTTCCCTGGTTACCACCCAACTGCTGAGACCACTGCTCTCACTAAGATTGATTATCAACCCACCTAGTCATATCATCAGACAGATCTTCTTACTCTGAGAAAAGATTCTGAGTGCACCTTCATCATACACTGAGTATTTCGTTAGCAGTTGCCTCAGCAGTTCCCTGCTTTCTAGCCAACTGCCTAAGCCAACTGCTCACCCAATAAAGCCCAAACTTCACCCATCATAGAAAGTGTTATACACCATTTATCTAAGAGGTTAAAGACTTCCGCTGTGCATCTAGAAATCTCCCAAAAGATTATAGATCAACTCACTTAGAGGGAAAACTTTTTGAAGTTGAAAAAGCTTTAAAAGTCTATTCACCCCCCCCCCCCCCCCCCCCTCCCCCTCTAGACTTTTACCTCTATCCGGGATCATCATATATATAGGGATAATTATGTCGAAACATATAAATTGTAGTGAACATATAAATGATTACAGAGTTGTGAGGCAGAGATTCATTACACCTAGACATGTTTTTGATATGGTCACTACATTTTCTTTGAAATGAGGCATTGATGATTTGTTTGCTAAGTATAAATAATATTTGTCCAAAGTTAGAAGTCTAATATCTGAGTAAACTTAATGGATGTAAGACTTTTCTCTAGAATAAAAACACATACATGAAAAAATATGTAAATTCGTGATAATTTTGTCAGACTGACAAACCCTTTGAGTTTTTGTACTGCAATATGATAAAAGTTAGAAATATGAAATCATATTATTAAATAAAGTTGAATTATATTGAAGGATGAAATAACAAAGTTGAATTATACTTAATTTTTTAACACGGTAGTATATTATTTCAAACAAGTACCAAAAAATTTTG